CACAAATTCTTGAATCTAAAATTTCCATATCTTCAATTTTTTCTCAATTTCAATTCATTACTTATTTTAATTTTTTACCAATATTTTAGTTAGTTTTTGTCAGTTGAAAAAAGTATGTTAGTTTTTTTTTAATTTGTTAGACCGTGTAACTAGGAGTAACTAGTAAACATACACTCCGTCCCATAATTTTCTTCTTCTTTGTTTTTTATGGTGTCCGGTGCACTTTGACCATTAATATTTCTTTTTAAATATAATTTTAGATTATAAAAATATAATTTTTTAAATTTTATTTCAAAATGAATCTATTGATATTAAATTTATACCATAACTCAATATTTTTTTTTATATTTTACATTCAAAGCTAAAAATGTTGACCAAGAAAAAACAATAAAGAAGATTATTCCCGATGGAGAATAACTAGTACATGTATTATTAGTAATTGATGTTTAACCATGCAACTACTAACTAGTAAGGCTCTATTCTTTTAGGTTGGAAAAATTAATTTTTAATTTTTTCCAACTCCTTCAAGATTCTCTCAATTTTTCGAGTTCATACACTTGATCTTATTTGTAATCGTACCCATTTGTTTAAAACTTCACCAATTTTAAGAATGTAAACTCAGAATATAATTTCATAAATTTTAAGAATTTCGGAATATATTTCAGATTACGTGGGATATGAGAATTCTTATAAAAAAGTCGAGTGTACTCCAGAATCTATTTTGATACATGTGACTTATTACCCGAAAATCGAGTGAGAATATAATTTTGGAAGGAAAATGCTATGTGTACCCCGGTTTTGTACACCAGGGGTACACCATATAAAAGGCCAACCCCCTACCCCCATATCCCTCTCACCCACCCAGTCTCTTCTCTCTCTCTGTCTATTCCGATCAATTGCACCAAGCCCCCCTCTTCTTCGCGGGAGCCCTCTTCTTCGCCGGTCAACGATTCTGCACCCATTCTCCGTCTCACTCCCGTACCCAAAAGCTCCAGCCTTCATAGCTTTTCTCATCCTCGCATGGTCGCATCTGCCCTGTTCATCTTCCTCTTCCACCATCTTCATCTTCCTTTTTCATTTGCGACGTCACTCCAAATGGCCTTCAACTTTACACTTCCGTTCCGGTAAATCAAATTTTTATTTGGTTTTTGACATAAATCAAATTTAATTTTGTTCATTGCTAGATCTAATTTTTTTCATTGTTGGTGGAAAATTTGATTTTCCAATTCGATTAGACAAAAATCAAATTTAATTTTTAGTTCACAGATCTGATTTTATTGCTGCATTTTCCCAATTTCAGTTTTGGGAATTTTTCATGTTTATGACGAAATGTCTGTGTACTGTTTGTTATTGGTGAAAAATGTTCGTATTTTATTTAAAATTTGCTCAATTTCATAAATTGCTTTGAAATGTCTATGATGTACTTCTTGTCGGCACAAAATGTCTGTACTCTAAGAAAAAACTTGCTTTGATTGAAAAATTACTCTAAAATGTTTGTGATGTGCTTATTACTGGTGTGGAATGCCTGTTTTCCAATTAAGAGTCTACTTAGTTTCAACACTTGCTATAAAAAGTCTCTAAACTGCTTCTTATTAGATCTTTTATTCATTGTCTTGATAGCTACATATACATTGCTTTTTACATGTATTTGAAAGATATGTCAACTCAATGATAGTCAATGTCTCAAGGTATTTAATTAAATTTTTAAAACTTATAAATTAAGAACATACTCTAATGGTGGAAGATTTTGTATGTTACATTTGCAATGCCGATTGTACAATTATTTTCCTTTTGTTATAATTTGTTTTCACTGGTAACTTGTAGAGGGTTAGGTGTTTGTTATTTTTAAGGGCTTTG